CTGGTAGCAGTTATAAAGCAATCTGCAGTTGTTTGCTACCTGTGTTAAAGTTGGAGGCACATAGGAGAGGACACACTACAAACTGAGGACATCTGCCACCAGTACCAGGCCTGGGGTAGCTCTGCAAAATGCCAGCACACTCCAAGGCTTGCTGCTACCTGTATGCTTCCCTAAGGTTCAGCCACTGATGAATCCTTGTGCGGTATAGGATTTGGGTGAAGCAGGGTTTCAGGGAGTCACTAGAATGGGAAGAGTTGTGGTCACCAGGTTAATGTAGACTCTGGTTAGCTTCCTTTGCTGAGCCTGGAGCTACTCAGCAAGTCTCAGAGCACACTGAAGCCAAATGCTGCCCACCTGGAGCCCACAGTCTCTCCTATAGAATGCAATGTGGGTGGGGCTTGCTGCTCAAGAGAAAGCGCCTCTGGTGCTGGGGGAGCTGGGTAGGGTGGGTTCCCAGTGAGTCAGTAGTTTGAGCAGTGGAGCTTACTAGACCAATCAGATTCAGATTTAGCCATGTGGGGGCGGGTTCAATACAAGAAAGATGGCACCCGCTTGCGGCTGTGAGAGAGAGAGAGACCTCACACAGGGAAAATGGTAACTGCCCTTCAGCCCTGCTCTGAAGCCACACACTTCAGTCTGCACGCCCCCCCCATGCCTCTGACACCTCATGAGTCACCGTCCCTCCGCTGGAGCCCAGGGTGAGTCTGGGGGTGAGAGAGTGTGTGTGGGCTACTTAAGGGGATGTCTGGGTTTCCTGCAGCCTTCCGTCCCGCTCGCTCGGATGGTCAGAACCTTCACTGCTTTTCACAGCCAAATGTTGTAGGGCTCCTCTTCCCAGCACTCTGGGAGAGGGAGCCTGGTATGGGGGTGGGGCCCCTCGCTCTGTAAGGGGAACTTCTGCTGCTGAGATATCCCTCCCAATTTTCATTCACCACACTGAGGTTTGGGGCTAGCCCATTTCGCATCTCCACCCCTCCTACCAGTTTCAATGTGGCTTCTTTATATCCTGAGTTATAAAACTTCTGTTCATTCAGACTTCAAATGGTTCTCCAGGTTGATTGTTCTATAATTTGATTGTAATTTTAATGTGTTCATGGAAGGAAGCAAGCACAGTGTTTATCTACTCTGCCTTCTTGGATCTCTCACTTACAAAACTCTTAATTATCCAGGTGCAGCTTTTTCTTCCTTTTAAACGGCATTTCTTAAATTGTTGCTTGGCTCAGCCTGATGGATCTTCCTTATAATTGTGTGCACGTGTGTGTGTTTACACACATACGCGAGAGAGAACATGAATGTACCTTAAAACCTGAAACTAATCATCTTGCCCAGATTATTTTAGAATTAGCTTTCCCTTTTTGCCATCTTAAGAGCAAGAATTTTTGCTTTTGCTTTTTTCCTCACTGCTTCATCCTTTGGTAGAAATGATAGTTTCTTAAGAATATGGACAAATGGCAAGGGAAAGTCGAAAAATATATTTGAATATGTAACAGAATGGCACATGACACTACAATTCTAATATATAGAAGATATATCTTTAATCTGCTTATTTAAAAACATTATCCTTTGATTAGTGTTTAACATAACATTCCACTCTATTTCGTTTAGCACATATAAATCGTGCTATAAATAGTCCCTTTAGGTCAGTGATTATCAAAAGGTGTGCCATGGCTCCTGGAGCAGTATTTTGGAAATGGGTGAGGGCAACTTGGGATTGTTTTAAGGAAGGATATTCCAAGTCGCACCAGCCGAAGGCACACAGAGAATATGCTCTGCAATACATTGGACAGTTCCAAACAATGATAAATTGTCCCATGTCCCAGCAGACATTCAAGTGAGTGAAAACTGTTTTATATCAAAGTCTGCAATCAAACTTCATTCTGCATATAAACACAAAGTATCTCTTATATTGTGTTAATATGCCCTGTTCTTTAGCAATGCAAATACTGTATAAATAAAGGGAAGGAGATGCTTCCTTTGGTGCCAAACTTTGCCAAGAGTTGCTCACTATTTTGGAAAATCAGAGCACTGCAAGCAATGCCACTTGTAGATTCTGGAATCTGCAGTACAATACAACTGTATATGTTTCAGTCACATATCCAACCTCTTCCTTTTATCTTCTAGTACATCATTCATACCCAAGCAGTTATAAATTGAAATATATACTATCTTATTATAAATTACATTCTCTGCCTTGCTCCTTTATATTACAGTTGAAGCATGACATTGATTCTTGATATATTTTTTTAATTAAGTGTGTAAATTAGCAGTCAATAAACTTTTTTGGTAAACAGCCATGTAGGAAATATTTTAGGTTTTGTAGGCCAAATGGTCTCTCACAATTATTCAACTCTGCTGTTGTAGTCAGAAAGCACCATAGACAATGTATAAATAAATAGGTGTGGCCATGTTCCAATAAAATTTGCCTTTAATATAATTTTCACTCATCAGAGTATTCTTTGACTTTTAAAAACTATTTAAAATGGTAAAATCAGTGTTAGCCCTTGGGCAGGACAGAAACAGTCAGCGGGCCATCTTTGGTTGGCAGCCGACAGTTTGCCAATCTCTTAGTATGTCATGATCAAGCATTTTTACACATTGAAATATATATTATGAGCAATCACATTTCTTTTATTTCTCCTTTATATGATAGCTAAAGCACTATATTGACTGTTTGAAATAAATGTGTGTAAATCCTATAAACAAAACTTTTTGTAAAATGACTTGGTAAAAAGAATTAATGTAACACAGCAACTTGTGAGTGCTCTGCAGATCCTTACTTGGAATGATGAAATATATGCTGGAGAGTGTGGCTTCCCAAACAGCTGGCTCTGAGAATAAAAAAAGAAAGGCTGTATTTACGGTTCCAATTGTTCAGTGACAGGCAACAATCCTGATTGGATAAAATCCTGATTGGTCAGGTCTAATGGTCTCCTGGCTGACTTCAAATCCCCTTGTCTTTCCCTGGTGCTATGCATGTCTGGACACTCTTCCAGTTTTATCAAAACTCAGAAGTTCCTGTCTTTGATAAGGAAAATCAATCCTGGCTAATCTCTGATACAAAGCTGTTAGGTGGTGTCCCGCAGTTTCATGCTTTTTTGAGCTTTCAGAAATGTGTGTCTTTTCCAGGCTTGGGATATCCTCCATGTCCAACAGTGCTAAGCTAAAATATCAGAGTTGTTTTTATTTATTTTTTTATTTTTTTCAGTAGGCTGTGCTGTCTGTGCATTTATTTTCATGATCATCAAGGCGGAGCATGGCAAAGTATTTGTTTCAAAACAGGGCCACTGTGTCTGAGTGCATCAGGGGACATCCGATCTCACAGATTTCTGAGCCTTTGGGAGTCCCCTCTTGCTCCTCTGAGGGTCCTCTGATGAGTTGGGAAGGAAGATGAGGGTGGATGATGAAATGTCAAGCCCAGAGGGAGAATCAGAATCATTCTGAACTCTCAAGAAATGTCCCTTGTTCACCTCCTTGGTGACCTTTGCAAACATAAGCCTCTTGATCTTGTTTCTCTACTTGGTCTGGCCTAGTGGTCCCCTGGCTGACTTCAGATCTCCTTGTCTTTCCCTGGAGTCTCTGTTGACTCTTCCACTTGGCTCCCTGGCTGGACAGAACCTCTCCAGCCTCTGCTCTCAGGGCGCTGCTCCCTTTGCCTGCTGCCCCAGAACAGGTACACTGGCTTTCAGCTCAGCTGCCTTCAGCATCTTCCTCAAGGACCGCGGGAACATCCGGGCTCTCTCATGCCACATGGGAATTCAGAGTACTGGGAAATCCATTGTACTTTGATGCACCTTGAAATGCAATCTTTTTCCAGAGCCTTAAATAGGTTCTTTGTCCCTCTTCTGTTTGTTTCTAAAGTCTCCTAGCCTCACTGTCAGCTCCAGAAAAAGCAAGCTTGTCTTTCACTTATCCTATGTCGTCAACCCTCCATCATCACACAACCGCGAGCCTCAGGTGTCTTAACATCATAGGCAGAAAAGGTATCTTCTCTACTATGGAGCTAAGTGATCACAGCTCACATGGAAGCCAAAGGAATTTAGCAACTCCTCACTCTACACAAACTTTCGCTTTCAAACCCATTGTCTTGTACCATTCTCTCTAACCCAGAATGATGAGTCTGAAAAAAGGAGACTGAAAAAAGACACAAGATTTAAAAAAAGGAGATTAAACATTTGCTATATACTGGCCAAATTACAAGTATGGTTGACATTACCTTGTTTTCCTCCCATGTGACTGAGAGCTGAAATATGAATGCAGTTTAATTAGTAAGAGGATCAACACAAGTTTATGTGTCACCTATTCTTTGGGGTGTACAGCCACATGTAATGGAATTGCCCTAATTCACCCATCAACTGTCATAAATGTCAAAGATTATTCCGAGGTCATGTCAGTATGAGCTCACAGATCCCTATGATAGTTCCAGTTTCTTGGGATTTCTACCCTTTCTCCCTATGATGTTAAAAGCCCTCACCATAATTATTTATGTTATTGTTTTCATTTTCCTGGGACCTGGGAAAAGCTGGCTGATTACACCCTTCCCTCTTCTGGCTTAGCCCTTTTAGCAAATCCCTTACCTCTCCATTTCTAAGGGTTCTGTACACATGTATGGTTCTTGCCTGGCTTGTGGGTGGGGTCAGCCTCCTCTCCTCAATTCCAGTGGAGGAGGTGTGTGTGTGTGTGTGTGTCTGTGTGTGATGGGTGAAGAAAAGAGGTGAATCAGAGGTAGAGACAAGTAACAGGGGAATTCAGATAGGCTTAAATACACAATTACTATCTATTTCTCTTCAGTAGAAATATCCTGAGTGATGTTCATAAAACTCTATGACATTGTATTTACAGGTTAATAATCTGTTTGAAAAAGAGCATTGGGGTTGCTGTTGCATTTTCTAGTATGACTTTTGGGTAAAAAGAATTATGTATATTCATGCTTCTTGCTTAGACAGCCAGGACACAGTACTTCTGTGTTATTATCTCACTTTTTCTTTTTTATTTTCCTTTAGCTCAACAGAATTCACCAAAAATCCATGAAGGCTGGTGGGCGTACAAGGAGGTGGTCCAGGGAAGCTTTGTTCCAGGTAAAACACATTTTAATTTTAAGGAAAGAATTTGAATGACATATGGTATTATTTCCAGAATTTTGCATTTGCTCCATGGCATGGGATGTATATTGCAAAAGGCGGCATGATCTTACTTTTGTATTAGATGAACACTCCAGTAAGAGAAAGTTTCCATAAGTGGCAGTTTAACCAAGACCACATTTTTCCATCTGAGCCTACATCCCAGCATCCTACAGGAGACTCTGTCAAGGAGTGGGCGATGGAGGATTGAGGGTTGAAGCTCTGTCTACTGGAATTTGCTTAAATGAGAAAGGGCCATTTCTTAACATTCATGAAACAGGAAGTCTGGAAGGGCTGACCATGGCAGTGGGGCTTGCTGGGATGCATGCTGTCACTGATGGCACTTCAGGAGCATCTACGGTCAGGATTCAGCAGCTGGGGCCAAGCACCAGCTAAAAATAACAGGCAGAGTGGATGCTGTCAGTATGGGGGGAGAGAACTGAAGATAAGGTGGAGCCAGAAACATACTGTGGCTCTGATTTAAAAGAAAGGTAGGGGGCCGGCCGAGTGGTACGTTGGTTAAGAGCTGGCTTGGGA